TGTGTGTGTGTGTGTGTGTGTGTGTGTGTGTGTGTGTGTGTGTGTGTGTGTGTGTTCTCCGGTCCAAGAGGCAGGGGTGGGGAGTGGGAGGGTCCTCTAGAAGAATAACAGAAGCCTTAATTAAGGCAGAGAGGAGAAACTGAAGCTGGCAGATAGGGGTGTGGTGTGGTGTGGTGGGTGGAACAGGAGACAAGCCTGGGAGGGGTCCTAGGCCCCTGGTATTGCCTGCCCCAGGCCTGGACCCATCTTGGGCAGAGGTTGGAACTGGCAGGCCCGCCCCCGCCAAGTCACAGGCAGCCTGAGTGGTCAGCTGCTCCGGCACTCTGAGGAACCCTGGGATAGCTGGTCCGCACTCTACCCCTCACCTCCGTGATGGCTCCAGAAGGGTATTCCAGCCCCAGGCAATGCCAGCCTTGGTCCTTTGAAGTTGAGCTTGTACTCAAACCTTCGCTGAGGAAGACGGGTCCCCTCAGGGCTGTCGGGGGCCAGCAGCAGAAGGAGAAGGCAGAGCAAGGGAGTAGGGCCACCAACCATAGGCATTGTGAAAGGATCTAGTGTCCCTGTCCAGGGTGGATCCCTAGCTAGGAGGCCAGGGTGGGGCTCCGGGGGGAAGGGCCAGGTGGGGAGGAGCTGGGGACTGGCTAGGAGTTGGTTTTGGCACTGACATCTCCCTCCTTCCCCACACAGACATCCTGTTCCTTCCAGGCCTGACCTCAGGCCCCACCCCTCCCTTACCTCTAGCCTGACCTGCTGAATCCCTGACCCCTGACACTTGTCCCACCTGATCTCTGCCCATGCTCCAGGGTTCAGGCCATCTTTCCACCTCCCCTCAGCTCCAGCAGCTAAGCAGCTTCAGGGACCACAGGGACAGGCCATCCTTCAGTCACCCTGGCCTCTCCTCCGGGCTCGGGACAGACCTCCACACCCTGCCTCTGTCCTGCAGACGGGTGTCCTGGCAGTCTGGCAACAACCCACCCCATCCTCCCTGTCCCGCTCTCTCCCCTGTAACGCTCAGCTCTCTCCCATATTCCCAAAGGCTCATGCCTCCAAGCAGCCCAAGTTTCCTCAGCAAATAAACTACATGAAAAACAGAAAGAGAGCAAACAAATGCAGTGTGTGAACCTTGTTTGGAGCCTAATTTTAACCAACCAACTGGGGGGGGGGGAAATGAGACAATTGGGGAAATTTGAACAATAAATTTCTGATTAAATTATGGAATTATTAAAATTTTTAGGAGTAATAAGATATTGTGGTTATATTTTTTAAAACTTTTTTGTCTTTTAGAGAAATGTACTAAAGCTCTGGAGGACTTGATATAATGTCTAGGATCTGCCTCTAAATCCCCCGAGAGGGCGGGGGGGTGGCACAGCACTGGCCTTGAGTTGATAACTGTTCAAGTTGGATGGTGGGGACATGGGAGTTCAGTATATTCTTCTCTCTACTTTTATATGTTTGATAATTTCCAAAATAAGCAGTTTTAAAAAGTAAGTCATCTTGAGGGTGGCCGGTTAGCTCTGATGGCTAGAGCACAGTGCTCATAACACCACGGTTGCTGGTTCAATCTCTGCATAAGCCACTGAGTTGCACCCTCCACAACTATGAATGAAGACAACTACTCGACTTGGAGCTGATGGGTCCTGGAAAAACACACTGTTCCCTTATTTAAAAAAACAAAAAAGTAAGTCATCTTATATTTCAAATGTTTTCATCCAAATGTTGGTTTTCCAGAGTGGCTGGCTCATCTGCCAAGGATTGTAGATGGTTGAAGTTTGCTATACTTTGTAAGTTCCCAGTAGGATTCAGTTACGGAAGCTCTGCAAATTAATTAAATCAAGGCTGTAAATGGAAACTTCCAGGGCATGCTAAAAGAAGACATTCATTTCGCAACACGGAGCCCTCAGCCACCTCCACCCACTCTCCTGCACCTTCCCAGCCGCACTGGGGAGATATGGGCCCCATCCCAGCTCTGCGTCTTCACCTGCCCCTGCCAGCAGGTGGAAACGGCTCCAGCAAGGCCTGACAATGACCTGTTCTCTGCGCTGAGTCTTTGCAACGTGAAATGCTATGGACATTCCCCTGCCCCATGCTGAGACCCACCGCCCAGGGCTTACCTGCCTCTTCCTGCCCCCTGACTGCCTGCTGCTCCTTTAACCCTGCTCTCTCCCCAGCCTTTACACTGGGGCTCCATAGGGCTGCACCTCCCCCCACTCACCATGTACTCCCTGGCTGAGCTCATCCATGCCCGTGGCTTCAAGCACCTCTCCTGTGGCCATAATCCCCAAATCTCTACTTCCAGCCTGTCTTCTCCCCAGAGCCGCAGGCCCGAATGAACGTCCAACTCCGCAGGGAACAGCTCTGCTCAGACGTCACGTAGGCCCCCAGGTGACATGTCCAAACCAAACGCCTCTTCTCCAACCCCCGGTCCATCCTCTTCCAGGGCTGGGGTCTCATGGATGGTGCCCCCATCTTATTGAACCAGAGACTGGAATCCCCCAGATCCCTTGTGTCTCATCCTCTCATTGGCCATCAGCAAGCTCTTCAATCTGCTCCTGCCCTCTCATATTGTGGTACCTGATTCTCTCCAAGCCTGTTTCCTCACCTGTAAAATGGAGATAATATAGTGTGTATCTCCAAAAGTTGTTTGGAGGGTTAATGAGGTAACACGCCTACTGTGCTTAGAACAGGGCCTGGCAGACAGTGAGTGTTCAGCTCAGTAAAACACTGGCTGTGTTTACCTTCCTCTCACCTCCTACTGCAGCGGTTCTCAACCTTCCTAATGCTGCAACCCCTTAATACAGTTCCTCATGTTGGGGTGACCCCCAACCATAAAATTATTGGGGATGGCCGAGTGGCTCAGTCAGTTAAGAGCTCACTCAAGAGTTTGAGCTCTGAGCAACAGCGTTTCGAGTCCTGGCCTGAGCTGAGCAGCCACTGAGCTGCCAACAGGTGGCAGGATGGCTCAGCTAAAAAAAAAAAATTATTTTCGTTGCTCTCTATAACTGTAATTTTGCTACTGTTATGAATCGTAATGTAAATATCTTTCTGTTTTCGTATGGTCTTAGACGATCTCTGTGAAAGGGTCCTTCGACCCCCAAAGGGGTCACGACCCACAGGTTGAGAACCGCTGTCCTACTGGCTTTGGCTTCACCAGCCCAGGCCACCGTCAATCACCTGCTTGGCTGACTGCAACCTTCCCACCGTCACCCTGTGTCCACTTGGGACACCTCCTCACCTCCCGGGCCAGATTGTAGTCAGAAGGAGCTTTGTAAAATGCAGATCTACGATGTCACTTTTCTGTCCTAAACCCTTCAATCACTCCTGGTCATCTTTGCATACAGTGCAACTTCTTGTGGGGCCTGCAAAGCCAGGTGGGTCTGGACCCTGCTTTCTCTCCAGCCTTACTTGCTCCCAAACCACACCCCTGGCACCTTTGCCCCAGCCACTTAAGCACCTCACCACCTTTGCCCAGGCAGTGGCCTTCCTTTGCCAGAACACCTTGCTCTCTGTCCCTGCCTGTCCTACAAGTGTCTGAGAAGCTTCCCTGGTCCCCATCTCCTCTATCTCACTGGCTCTGTGTGGGTGAGGAGAGACGCCCACCAGATTCTGGGCACCAAGTTGAGTCCTGAGTGGGAACCCAACAGTCTGTGACATCCTTGAGGGTTAGAACTATGTCTTGCTCATCTATGATGAACCAGTGGCCAGCGCAGGACAGAAGGGAAGATGAGAAAAGAAAGAGGGGAAAACAAACAAACACTAAAACCAAGTGAGAAAAAAGGGGAGTGAAGAAAAGCAGCTTACATGCCACCAGGTAGAAAGAATAGGAGCGTCTGGGCTACCCAAGCCTGCATTTCCACAGGTCCCCACAGGTTCCTGATTGTCGCACTTGGTCCAATTCTGTCCTGGTGCCTGCCTGACCCCTCCCATAACCCGTGACCACCAGCACCACTGCCTGTCTGAACCGAGCTGGCTTGGACCTGCAAGAGCCCCTGTTGCTGCCTTCAGTGAAGAGCGGACCACTGTATCAGCAACTGTAAGTCAGAGCTCTCCACTCACTGCTGTCTCAGCTGAGTACTGGACAGGAGCCACTGCCTGACTCTCCAAGACAGTCCCTCTCCCATCGCAGGCCCATTCCGGTTCACCTGCCCTTGCTCGAAGGAAGGCTCCACCTTCTATCACGCCCATTCTCTCCCCTCTCTATTTTCTGCCTCTCTCAGTCCTTCCCTTTGGCAGTCAGATTTGCTCAAGCTTCTGCCCTCTGAAAATTCCTCTACCTCTCGTCCTCTCCATTACAGCTCAATTTCTCATGGTGTGAAACTTCCTGCATGGCCCGCCATTGGAATCTGGAATCTGTCCCCACCAAACTCAGGTCTTGCTGACGTCACCAGCAATCTCGTGGCCAGCACTGCCGGGCACTCGGCCTCCCTCTCCAATGTCTCTGGGACACGGGGACTTGCTGGCTCCTCCTCTTGGAGTCCTCCCTTGGCCCCTGTGACAGGGAACTCTCCTGTCTCCTCCATACCTGGCCTGGTCAGCCTCCTCCTGACCTTTGAATGTTGAGGGTGCCCCCAGGCTTGGTCCTGGGCCCCCTTCATTTATGTATGTCCTCCCAAAGTGATCTCCACCTTGCTTCAGGCTCAAGCCATATGCTGTTAACTCACATTTCCCTCTTCGGCCTCTGGGTTCTAGCAACTTACTCAACACCTCTTTGCAGATTCAAAGGCACACTCAAAGCTCACCATGACTTGAGCAGCACTTGGGTTTTCTCAGCACGTCTCATGGTTCCCTGGCTCAGAGGGCCCCTGTCCCTGCTCTCCCACATCCATCATGCTGGAATCAGGCGTTGCTCTGGCTCTGCTCTCCTTCACCTTTGTCCTGACTCCATTACCAAATCTGGGCAGTGTTACCTCCTACCTCCCTCTGGAGTCTGTCAACTCCCACCATCCTCTCCCACAGATCAGCCCTCACTGTTCTTCTTTCAGACCTTCTCCACCAGCAGCTAGGGCGATTGTTTCAAAAATACATACCTGAGGGCCGGCCGAGTGGCTCAGTTGGTTAAGAGCTCGCTCAAGAGTGTGAGCTCTAAGCAACTAGTGGTTCGATTCCTGGCCCAAGCCAAGCTGCCAACAGGTGGCAGGATGGCTCAGCTAAAAAAATAAAAAAAAAAGGTACCTGACTTGTCATCCTCCTACACAGAACCTGTTGCTAACTCCCCACAGCACCCATCTTCTGGGAAGCCCTGGAACAAGCTGCCCACCTCAGCATCTCAATCTCGTTCAGGAATGCTGCTACCTGCCTCCCACCCTCTCACCTGTTTATCTTTCCAATCTCAGCTTACATGTTGCCTCTTCCCAGAAGCCCTCCCTGGTCTGTAGATAAGATCTGATTCCCATGGTATATACATTTCTTCCATAGCACTTATCAGTTTGTAATGAACTGGCTGTGGTTGTCTTCCTGTGAACTCCACAGGGTCTACTGCTCACTACTGTGTAACCCCACTCCCAGTGCACAGCAGGTATTTTGTTGTTGAAGGAATGGCCTAGTTTTAGAAAAGCACGTCTGGTAGTATGCAGAAAGGACAGATTGGGGGAGGTAAGGAGGCTGCACTGGGCTTGCGGGGGAGGTGGGTGATGGCGCTGGACTGCAGAGCAGAGCCTCAACTGGACAAGGAACTCCCAGCTGCCTGTCTCAGTGAATTCTGCATTGACCACCGCCCCTGGGGAACCTGAGAGGGAGACAATGCCATGGCTGGTCCTCATGCTCCATCTGTGCATTCCTAGAGGCCCCACCTTCTACATCCTCAGGCACAGGGCTGGGCACATGGTGGAGGTGGGGACAGGGCACTTCCTACATCTCAGGTGAACTGTGAGAACCAGCAGCAGCTCAGAGCCTCCCTCTTCTCTCCCTCTAGGATCGACCTCTTCTCTGAGGCACGAGATATTTGCCTCCTACTAGGGGGTACCCCATCTCCATCCTGTCAGGCCTGGCTTCCTCCCCTCCCTGTACGGATGGCTCGAACAACACAGCAGGAGAGCCAGCCGGGCTCGCAGGCATTACCCTGTGGATGGGGCCCCAAGGCCAAGGCCGGCTGCAGCAGGACAGTGGGGGAGGGCAGGTGATGAGAGCCCCCCACGGCAGACACAGGACACGCGCTCGTGCAGCTGACACAAAGCGGTGGGCACCTCTCCCGGCCGTGCTCCCACCCGTTCCACTCACAGGGCAAGCGCAGCCCCACTCACAGAGACAGGAGAATGGACAAGATGGCACAGGGATGGGGGCGGGGAGACAGGCAGGCTCGGCGGAGGAAGCGCCGAGGCTGGGCAGCGGTGTCCTATGGAGTGGTTTATTACAATTCCATCTCGGAAGGCAGGCGGCAGCACACACGAGCTCCAAGCCTCTGACAGACGTCCGCCTCGGGCGCATGCAAACAGTGCAACACGGTCAAGTGCAAACACGGGGCGACCGAGGCGACACGGAACATGGAGTGGGGAACAAAGCTGGGGCGATGGGTCTCCCCAACCCTCGTGGGCAGGACAAGAAAAATAAGATTCGTACTTCTTGTAAAATGCCCATTTGCTGGGTACTTTCTTTCTCCTTATCTTGAAAAATAATAAAAAATAAACACACAGAAAAAAATCTCAAAAAAGGACAGGAATAAAACTCTAGGAAGGTGAGAGATGGGAGGCCAGGAAAAACCTGACCACAGCGGGGGCATCTGCCTCCCGCTCCTCAGCCTCTTCCCTGCTTGGCCCCTGAGTGGGGCTCCCCAAATCCCCACAGGTGGGTCCATGAGAGAAGGTGCCAGGCCTAGGTGGAGTCCCTGGGGGGCCAGCAGGGCGCAGACTGGGATATAGGAAAGGCCCACTGGACTCAGTTCTGGCTTGGGCCCAGCAGGTGGGGCACTAGGTCCACAGTCTGTCCAGGTTCAGTCCCCACAGGCCCACGGCCTGGGCAAGGGCTGCCGTCACAGGTGCAGCTCATGCGCTTTGATGTGCTCAAGCTGCTCACGGAGCTGCAGGAAGGAGGGCCGCGTGGTGGCGTCCAGCTGCCAGCAGTTCTTCATGACCTCGTAGACTGCAGGCGGGCAGCCGTCGGGGGCATCCATCTTGTAGCCCTTCTCCACCCGAGGGACAACATCCTTCAGTGGCTGCGGGCAGGTGGGGTATAAGTCTGTGCAGGGCCAATTACCTGAGCGGACCCCTACTCAGCATCCCTCTTCAGGGGTCCCCTTCAGCTCTGCCTCAGACCCAGGCCCACGAGGCCACCATAGCCTGCCAAGCCCTCCCTCAGCCCCAGCTACTCCCTAGCACCCACACTCACAATTCTTGGATAAGGCACTCGCCCAAAGGAGTAGATTTCCCAGAGAAGGATTCCGAAACTCCACACGTCAGACTTGGTGGAGAATTTCTGCCAGGTGGATGGGAAAAGCACTGTCAGATCCTGGGCATTTGGGGGTGGGATGACCCAGGACCCCTGTTTACCACTGTGCAGGCCCTGGGGGGAGGCCCACCCACCTTCTCTCTCAGGGCCTCGGGGGCTGTCCACTTGACTGGCAGCTTGCCCGTGTCCTGGGTGCTGGAGGCCTCCTTGGTGAGGCCGAAGTCGCTGACCTTGGCCACATTGTCTTCAGACACCAGCACGTTGCGGGCAGCCAGGTCCCGGTGTACAAAGTTGTTGCCCTCCAGATATTCCATAGCCTCGCAGACATCTCTGAGGGCGAGCCGACCACACGTCTCCTCAGACGAGGCTCCCATAACAGGGTGGGCCCCCTCCCCCAGCGGCTGCTTCACTCACAGTGAGAACTTGAGAAGACAGTCTCCGCCCAGCACCGACCGACCCCGTGACCGCAGATAGTCCACCAGGCTCCCCTGGGGCAGGAGACAGACCCACCGGCCCACAGGTCAGACCTGCCTCCAGCCTCCAGAGCAGTGGGCCTGGGGCTGGGGAAAGGGTGACACCCAGGGAAGTGTGAGGAAAAGTGGCAGAGCACGGGAGGAGCTGGCACAAATACCAGATTCTCCAAACTGGACACTGTGCCCCGCCATTTTCAGGCATTATCTCTTAATTCTCATCAATCTCAAAGGTAAACTTTTTGAGCATCTCCATTTCACAGATGAAGAAACTGAGACTTAGAGAGGTAACACAACTTGTCCAAGGTCATAGCGAATAAATCATGAGCCGGGACAAAAGCTGAGCCCTGGAGGCTTCAAACATCAGTTAGAGGGAGGGGACTGAGAGCAGAACCCAAGGGTGTGGTGGGGGGCCTGGGGCAGCTGGAAAGCCCCCGTGTTTAATTCCAGCATGGGGGGTGGATTACGGGGCAGGCACGCACCTTGGCCATGTACTCAGTTACGATGTAGAGCCCGCCCTTCTCCTCCACAATCACGCCCAGTAGCTGTACCAGGTTGCTATGCCGAAGTTGCCTGGGGCAGGACGGGGTGGTCAGAGGCTGCCCAGCCTCCTCATCCCCTCCCTGCGCAAGGGGACCTCCCCATCCACCCCTGCCCAACTCACGTCATGACCGACGCTTCAGCCAGGAAGGCCTGGGCAGTGGCGTCATTCTTAATGCACTTGACAGCAACTTTGTTCCCTCGGTAATCGCCCAGCATCACATCTGGGGGGACAGAGTTGGGGGTTGTTCCTGGACTCCCCACAGCTCCTCAGCCCCTCAAAGGACTCCCAGCCCCTCCTGCTCACCTCCAAACTCCCCCTTCCCAATGGTTTGCAGCAGCTTCAGGTCCTTCATATTCAGCGCCCAGCCACCTGGGGGAAGGGGAGGGGTATAGTGAGAGGCGCTGAGCTGGAGCAGAGTCACAGCAGGGGTGACAGTTGCCGACTGGACTATAATGTGTGCAGACCCCTGGAGGTCTCCAGAGCCTCTGGAATGGGGCAATGCCAAGAAGCCTGAGTAGCAGGAGGCGGATAGGCAAGTGAGGACTAGGGTGGGGTGCCACTCACTGCGGAAGAACTCGTCCTGGGCTGCCACTGTGCCCTCCATGACCTTTGGTTTGATGAGCCGAGTGCAGAGGCCATCTGCATCAGAGGTGTAGTGCTGCAGGGGATAGGGCAGGCTCACCAGCCGCTCACCAGCTGCTCACCTGCACTGCCTAGGTCTGACCACCAGAGGGTAGCAGGGGCTCTTCCCACACCGCCCCGAGTTCTTTGGGTGGAGGGGCTCCCTATTTCTGGCAGGGCTGGGGTTAGGGACTCCTGAGACTCGAACACCTGGCCCACTGCCCATGCCACCCCATACCCAGGTGCTGGAGACCCCCCATTGTCGCTACCACACTGGGCCTCACCAGCATTCCCAGGCAGGGGCAAGCCCTGACTCAGTCCAGACACCAGCCTGCAGCCAGGTGTGCCCAGGACCCTCCCCTGCCAGAGACCAAGCTGCGCTGCAGGTGGAGGGAGGTGAGAGTGAGTGTGGAAGGCATGTGGGAGGCTGCTTGGGGCTATTGGATGCCAGGCGTGGCCTGCCAGGGCTGGCAGAGCTGGCCTCAGGAGCTGCAGGGACACGAAGGCACATCCCTGCAGAAGCAGGAGCCCAGGGGACCCTGGCCATCAAGATGTCGCTCATGAGGACATGCTTATATACACACACTTGGGCATGCATGTCCGTGAGTGGCTGGAAAGAAGCTAGTTCTGAGATCAGACAAACCCAAATTCAAGTCCTGGCACCTCAAATGCATAGCTGTGTCGCCTCAGGTAGGTTCCTTAACTGCTGTGACCCTTCATTTCCTGGCCTCTGAAATGGAGATAGTGCCCCCCTCCCTGTGATGGCACTGTGGGGCCAGAGACCTCCCTGGCACACAGCAGGTGTCCCTCGAGGCGTGAGGGAACACAGGCTCATGGAGGCTGTGTGGCACTCCCAGGTCACCGCCCAGGATGGCGGGTGGGGGCCAGCTCACCTCCACCAGCTGCATGAGGTTCTCGAAGTAGACCTCCTCATCGATGCTGAGCTTGCTAGCGTGGTACATGATGCGGTAGTGCTCCACCTTGCCGTCGCAGCTCACACACAGCGTGTAGTCCCCGGGGTAGTTGGTGCTCTCCCGCACCAGGAACAGGCCTGTCTCTGGCGGGCACAGAAGCCGCTCCGCCTGCTCCCGTGTGATTTTGCCATGGAACCAGCTGGGGGAAGGTCGGGCTAGGGGTCACGGCGGCCCAAGGCTATAGAGCCTGGTGCCCCCGGCAGCCCCCCTGCATCTGCCAGGCTCCACTTTTGGGAGGCCCTCCCCTGGCCCCACCCTTCCCTCTTCAGTCCTAGCCCCTTCCACCCCCTGAGGTCCAGCACCCACACCCTTCCCCTCATCTTGAGAAGCCCGCAGGACATTCTAGCCCTTTCCTCTGGCCTCCGTTTTCCTGACTCGCTTCTGGGGGAACCGGGCTTCCATGTCCTCCCTCCTTCCCTGACTGGGAGAGGAACCCCCTCAGCGATACGCACGGCATGAGGCTGAGTTTGGTGCCGGCCTTCACGCCCTCCCGCTTCTGGACGTAGTTGGCTGGGATGATGCCCTCACGGCCCACCTTGTTCTTGGCTTTGTACCAGTTGGGGTCCTGGGGAGAGGGCAGCCCAGACACACTCTCAGGCCCACCCTTCCCTGCAGGGGAACCAGGACCCTGAGGTGGGAGGAGGGGGTGGGGTGGGCATGTGAGGTCCCTTTTACCTTGGTGACGGCCACAATGGTGAGCACGTCTCCCTTGCAGAAAGGAAGGTCCTGTTCGGCTGTGCCTTGGAAGTTGTACTTGGCAATACATTCTGTACCGGATGGCCAGGCGGCCTGCAGGGCAGGAGACAAGTGGGTGGGTGCAGCCGGGGCCTCTCCACCCACCTGCCCACACATCCTCGAGGCCACAGATCTTGGCTGGCACCCCGTGAGTCCGGGTGAGGCGCCCCCCCTCCCACAAGAACTTTGGGTCCCTTCCAGCTGAGATTCCCCCATTGCTCTCATCTTGAGGGCCCTGTAGGAATGCCACTTTGTTGAAAGCCAGGGCTGGGACAGAGGGCTGGGAAAAAAGGGAGTGAATAAATCCGAGTCCTCATTTTCTCTCTTCTGCTCAGCAACCCTATGGGGGTGGCCTAGGACCCCTCCCCCGTGGTACCTGTATTGCCGACATCTTCTCAGAAGATCTGGCGTCCCGTGTCACAGGAAGGCTGCCCTGTCACTTGGTACCATGAGAGCTGTGGGAAGAAAAGGAAGGTTGAGGAGGGGTATGAGGAGATGGCTCCTTGTCCCAACTCACTGAGGTCCCACTCCTTCCCCACAGCAATGTGACCAGGTGCCAAACGCAGTCAGAGCTGGGCCTGGGGGCAAGGGCTGTCCTCTCCAGCCTCAGCAGGCTGAGGGCACTGAAGCGGGGCGGAGGCTAGAGCATGAGGGCTGAGGACCACCAGGAACAGAGGGGGCCACCAACCCTAAGCCCATGGGGTGGGGTGGGGGGCCTTACTGCCCAACAGAATGGCTAACAGAGGCAAAGGAGGTTTGGGGGCTGAGTACCACCAGTGCCACCTACCCCATCCTCCCCTAGCCCAGATACTAGCTAACTGGTCTGTGGGGGAAGGGAGCCCAGGACAGCTCTGTGAACCTGGGGAAGGTGCTATGTGATTGGGAAAGTCACCTATCCTCTGTGGGCCTCTTCGCCTATAAAAACTTGCCCAGGCAGTAAAGCCAAGGTACACCGACCCCATGGCCTGAGTATCCCACAACACACCCAAGAGGACAGGGCAGGTGTCCACTGCAGCACGAGTTGCAATAAACCTCAAACTGGGAACTGTCCAGATGTCCACCAAGAGTCCACGTGGGATGTCCATGAACAGTGTACCGCAGCAAACATCAAATAAGCTACAGGTGGGCCGGCCGAGTGGCGCGCTGGTTAAGAGCTGGCTTGGGATGCCAGCTCTGAGCAGCAGGGCTCTGGTTTGGATCCCACATTAGGGCCGGTGACGCTGTGCCCTCTACAGCTAAGATGGTGAACAACAGCTCAACCTGGAGCTGGGGTGCGATGAGTCGCCAGTGATGGCGTAGGCTGCAGTGGGCTACTATAAACTATCTGAGAGGCTGGCAGCCAGCGTGAGCTGCCGTGAGCGGCTGTCCAGTGGCCGGCAACCGATCTGCCTCACCCGGGAAGAGCACAATGATAATACCAACATGGGCCAGTGAAGCGACGTCCTCCACAACTAGACTGAAGAACAAAAAGGACAGCAACTTGTCTGTTCCCCTCCCCCAATTCCCCAATACAATCTTTAAAAAAATAAGCTACAGGTATGAAACCAGACCGATGAACTTCTAAACATGTTAGCCAAGAAGCCAGACACAGACGAGCACGCGCCATGTAGTTCCACTCGTATCAAGTTCAAAATCGGGCCTAATCCATGGTGCAGGAGGGGGCAGTGACTGGAAGGGGCGTGGCGGGCGGCCTCAGGGTGCTGTCAGGGTGCTGGTTATGCGACTGTCTGAGCGCAGTCGGGGCTAGGTTCACTGTGGTTCACAGAGCTGTGCCTTTATGATCAGTGTACTTTTTGGTGTGTATGTTTACTTCAAAAAGTTGACTCCTCTCAAGAGCCACCCCAGCCATCCCACCCCCCAAGAGCAGCGCACCAACCCATCAGCACACACATGCTTGTACTTGTCTGAGGAAGCAGGGGCTGGGGCTACTGTTCTCTTTTTACAGATGAGGAAACTGAGGCTTAGACTCACCATGGTCACAAACATGACTTATCCCAGGCCAGGCAGTGGGAGAAGACCTCTGAGTGCCAGTGCCTAAGGGTGTGAGGTGAAAAGGGCTGCAGAGCTTACTTGGGCTTCCTGCAGGAGGGAATGTTGGGGCTGAGCCCTGAGACCAGGACTCAGAAAGGCAGAGAGTGGGCTACAGAGGGCACCCCAGGTTGGTGTGACAGCCTGAGCAAAGGGGCTGGGGTAGAGACAGGTACAGTCGTGAGAAGCTAGCCTAGCTGGGAGCCCATGGTGAGGGAGGGTGGGAGACAAACCCTGACCATTTGAGCAGCCATCAGTCTGCTGTGTGCATTGCTAAGAGTAGGCCTGGCATAGGGGCTTCAAACGCCAATCTGAGGAACCAGGGTTTGCTTCTGAGGGCCAGGAGCCTGGGGGCCTCAGCAGCAGAGCATGTGGTCTTGGAGACTAGAAGACACCAGGGAGAACAGAGCCGGGAGAACCAGCACCGCTTCCAGACTGCACTCCTGGTTGTAGAGTCAGGCAGACCTGGCTCTGTTGAGTATGCAACTCGGGTGAATGACTCAATCCTTCTGAGCCGCAGATCCCTTACCCTGAAAGGTGGGGACAGGGATCCCCTGCAAGCAGGCAGTGGAGGGAGTGGAATGAAGCACTGGAAAAGCCTGGCACAGGGCCTGGCATAAACCGCCCCCACCGCCTCTCCTCCCTTCCCCAAAGGCCAGCCAGTCAACCTCTGCCATCTGACAGGGAGGCTGAGGCCCAAGCAGGATGAGCCTTGTCTGCCCCCAACCACCGCACACACATGCACGATTTGAGTCACCTGGATACAGGAACCAGCCCCTGGGCTCCTGTGGTCTGCATGCTGTGGGAGCTGTAAGCTCCTTACCCCCATTTACGGAAGCAGAAGCTGAGGCTCACAAGGTTCAATGATTTGCCTGAAGTCACACAGCTAGTTAGGGGTGACAACCCACACCTTGAATTGGGGCTCCCAACCTTCAGGCCCTTCTGAATAGAGGCTCTGCTAACTTTCCACATACCCACACCTCCCCTTACCCCCAAACTCGGAGGCACTGCAGGAGGGCGTGGAGGCTGTGGCACCATTAGTCACCCTCCCAGCTGTCAGTTTGCAAACACTCCTTTCCCGGCCTGCAGCAGCTGCCGCCGCCTCCCCACTGACTTGATAATAATAATAAAAATAATAATAGGCCCTGTTTTCTGAGCACTTACTCTGTGCCAGGCCTCATCTTTGGCATATTATGGCTCATCAAGCCCTCTAACAATTGAGAGAGAGAGGCTGTTATCACCCCCATTTTACAGATGGGGGCTCTGAGCAAGGCCAAGAGGCAAGGTGGCCTTGCCTGAGGTCACACCTCAGGTGAGCATCCTTTCCCACTGACACCTGAGCTGTCAGGCCAATGCCCCCCACCCTGTGCCTCTCTGCCTCCTCTGCCACACCATGCCAGGACCACACTGGCCTAGGGGAGCATGCGCACGGCAGCAGACAGAAGTAAGCAGTGCTCAGAGGAGGGACAAGCCCAGGGGGCAGAGGTCAGGACGCGCTTCCTTCCTCCAGGGGTTGGGGTTGGATGACAGAAGATGTGGGAAGGAGAGGGAAGAGCTAACCTCTGCCTTTCGCTCTGCTCGCTGCAACCTGGGGACCCAGTGTCCCCATCTGTACAATGGGTTGGTGGTAACTCCGCAGCTCCAGGTCCAGTCTGAGGACTGGAGTTGCCACCTCTCAGTACCAGGAACAAGACCGAGCTTGACACAGGAGCTTCAGACTCTGGTGGCTCCTCCCTGGAGCCCAGGAGGGCTCAGCTGCCTCCCCGTCTGAGACCCTCCTTAAGGCCCGGAGGGTCCAGCTGGGCCACCCTACTCCAGGTCAGGGACTGAGAGCCAGAGTGGCTGGGGAGGGCTGGCTGGCCTGGATCAGGCACGGGGGACCCTTCCTGGGTTATGTGAACCTATCTTCAGTCTACTTTGTGGAGGCAGCGCAGGAACAGTCCTGGAAGTCAGGGGCTCTGAGTCCTGTTCCTCGTTCTGCCATCAACTTGCTGTGTGACCTTGAGAAAGTCACTTGACCTTTTGGAGATGTGCTGGCCCTCCACCACCTCAGCGACAGCTGTTTCCCACCTGCTGTTCCCACATCAGCCTTGGCCTTCCTTCCCACTCCCTCCCCTTGCTCTACCCAGGGAACTTCCACTCAGCCTTCAGGTCGCAGGGAGGCAATGCTTCTACTGTACGTGTGTCTAGACAGATGTGGTGGACAGCCCCGGCAGTGCCGTTCATAGTAGCAAGAGATCAGGGGACAATCTTTATGTCCATTAATAAGGGACTGAGTAAATAAATGACCAGCTACCCCGAAAAGAGAACCCATACTCCAGATGTGACGCGGACAGAACAGCTCTCCGGCTGATGGTACACAACACGCTTCTTGACACAGTTGGTAGAAATGGCAAAAGCCGGCCCAAGTCATTGAAGGAAAAACTGCTGGACACAGCTTCCAAGTACCACCCCACCCACTAACCAGAAAGAGGAAAGGTCCCTTCACAACAGGGAGGTCTGCAGACACCTCATTAGCCCAACTGTCACAAGAAGCATGACCAACAAGGAGAGAAGCGACACTGAGTGACACTGAGCCTCCTATGACGGTGCACCAAGGGGGACACAGCTTCCACTGTGGCGTTCCACAGAGCTGTTTAACCTGACTCCCATCAGGAAGATAAAATCAGAGCCCAAACAACTGGCCTGGACACTGACAGCCAATGTCATAAATGACAAAACAAACAAAGGCTGGGGCATGTTCTAGATTAAAGACAGTAAAGGAGCCCAACACAACAACAACATGATAATTATGTCAGGTGAAGGATGTGCTAACCTTGTTATGGTAATTGTTCTGCAATATATACGCACATCAAATCATTACATTGTACACTTTGAACTTAACACAATGCTATGTGTCAATCATATCTCAAGAAAGCTGGAAAAGAGAGAAACATGACAATAAGATTCAATGAGTGATTCTGAATTGGATTCTGCATCAGAGGGAAAAAATATCTATAAAAATCATTTGGGGACAACTGGGAAAATGGAAATGTTTAGACAACGTTAAGTGTGACCATGGTACTGGGATTATGGAAAAGATCCACGCTAAAATACTTGGGAGTGCAACGTATGATGTCTGCAACTAACACTCATATAAATCGGCAAAACAATACATATACAAATATGTGTATGCATCCAAAAGAGGAGGTAAAGCAAATAGGGCAAAATGTTAAGAACTGGTGAATCTTGGGAAAGGATGTATGGGTCTTTGTTATACTATTATTTCAGCTTTTTGGTAGGTTTGAAATATTCAAAAGGCCGTAAAAAAGAGCTAGGTGCAGGATGTCACCCATGGTATACCACAAGCTGTGTTTTTCAAGGTAACATACAATTCATCCCCTAACTCAGATATGCACAAATTATCTTTGAAAGATAGAGAAAACTGATAATAGAGGTTGCCTCTGGGACGAGAAGAGGGTGTGAGTATCAAGTTCAAGGGACATTTACTTTTCACTGTGTATTTTGTCCTTTTTGACTTTTTTTTTTTTAACCACATGCAGCTATTATTACCTTTCCCCTAAAAATAAGACTGAAAATAAAGAACTTTTTGAAAGCCACTTCTACCAGGAGCCTTCCGTGGTCCCCCAGCTGTGTTGGCTGTTTTGGGCCTCCACAGCCTCTCACACATCCCCATGCTCCAGCAAGAGCCTCATTGGTCCTAGCCTGGGAGCTCTGCAGGGGAAGAGCTGGGGGGTTGACACATGTCCCTAGCACGGGCTGGGCCCATAGTGGCTGCTGGGTAAATGTGTGCTGAATGAATGAATGAAGCAACAAACAAAAGGGGGAAGCTAGGCTGACTGTACCACACTGAGGTCCCACAACCAATGGGACTATATTTAACCCCAAAGGACGCAGCTGTCACCCCACCCCCACAGGGCTAGGGGACAGGGAACTCTGGAACTTTGTGAGGTCAATGCTCCACTCTAACTCTAACTTTCTGCCTCACACCCTGCTCCCAGCAGTCCTTGTGCTGGGGTCCCGGGAACAGGCTGGGCATTGTGCCCAAGCACTGAGGTCAGTGGCCACAGCCTCAGGCAGGCCTTTCTTGGGAGCCTAGGCTGGCAGGGTGGGGCGGGATGGGGGGAAGCCCAGAAACTCCTGGGCTGCCCTTTCCCTGCCTGGGGGCAGCTTTAGACCCCCACAGCAAGCACACACTGAGGGCCAGCGTGGGCCACAGGGCTCCTGCCCTGACCCCTCACTATAACGACTGCTTAATGGGGCGTGGGAGCTTCAGTAACTGTTTATACACAGCTAAAAATACCCACTGAAAGGGGAAGTGCACAAGAGACCTGGGGGAGTGCAGGGCCATGGCCCCCAGAGACTCTGGTTCTGCCACAGGACCCAGCTAATATGGGGGGTGGGGCACGGGCAGCCACTGGAGAGGAGAGGTCATTCTTTACACCAGTGCCCCAGGAGCCTCCCGGTGCTCCCAGGTCCAGGCTTTGTGGCCGGGATGGGCAGAAAGAGTTAAAGGCTCAGGGGGTCCTGCCCTTGGGGCCCCAAGAACTCCACTCGCCCCAACAAAATGCAGACCTGCTCCTGTCCTCCTGGTTACTAGATGGTCAGTCATGGCCAGGTGTGCTCAGTGCCTGAACAGACAGGATACATGGGCAACCAGGAGGGCTTCCAGGAAGAAGACGAGGGGAGCTGGAGGCGCTTGGGAAGGGGCTGTGCTGGATCAGGCCAGGCTGAAGATTTCAAACTGTGGTACAGAGGGAGTTCATTAAGGCTGCAGAACGCTCAGGGTGAGGGTCCACAGAGGCTTTGAAGCTGAGGGAGGTCCCCACAGGTCACAGGACAGATATAAGCAGAACTGAGTTTCCAATTTGGGCACCCCCCTCTGAAAGGGCAGTGCACCTGAGAAGGGTGGGGCACTGACAGCAGTTGGGCTGGTTTGGCAGCAGTAAAATCAGCCCCACCTCTGGTTCTGCAAATGACACCCATGCTGCAGGCACTGGATGCCC